GTGAGCTAGGCTGAAGCCACGGCACTCTAGCCCGGGCAACAGAGTGAGACTCTGTCTCCAAAAAAAAAAAAAAGGAATAGGTAACTAAAGGAAAATGCTGACTGTATCTCTTTCAAGCTAACAGTGGTGACAAGAGGTAAAAAGGTAGTGTGTATAAAAAGAGGAACAGGAAAGAACTCATGAATATGAAGGAAATAAAATGTGGACAGTGATAAGAAAAAAATAAGTACATCTACAATGCCCATTTACAGTAACACTTTGACTGATTAAATATATGATTAACTGAAAGTTAAGCAGAAGTTTGTTCTTGTTTCAATTCTTGTATTTGATATTCCTCATCTCATCACCTCCTACCTTTTCTAGGACATCATCTCCTCCCTCACTAAACCTTTTTCTTCAGCCTACCATAAATATCCAAAAAATCAGTATTTAGGAAAGTCCAGCTTCATTTTTGTATGCCAAAAACAATTTATATTAATAGCATAGCAAAAATCTATTGGATTCTGTTGCATCAGGAGTAGTATAAAGGGGAGAACTCAGGAAGAGATATGAGATTCATTCTATCTGCAAGGCAGCTAACAAGCAGAAAAGAGCTGGCATCATCCTAGGTTGTGAACTTCCAAAGTACAGGAATCCTATTTGGATAACCTTTACATCCTCATTGCCTAGGATCACGTCTTATAGCCTGATACATGAAACGTTTTTGACAAATATTTGATGAATGGAAAAATAAATAAAAGAATGAACCAAACAACTGACAATAACTGCATAATCAGTATTGGTATGTGAAAGAAACTGAAACGTGGCCTACTTGGACGATAGCAAATGGTTAAAAGTATAGGCTCTGAAGATAGATTTGTGACCTTCACTAAGTTACTTAACTTTCTGTGCCTCAGTTTTCTCATTTGTAAAATAGGTATAATAATAATACCTACTTCATGGAGTTTTATAAATTACTTGAATTCATGTAAAATACTTAAAACAATGCCTAGCACTTCATAAGGAATTGATAAAAAACAACTAATATTATTATTATGACAACTAAATAGCTTTTAATTTAAAGTAGCAATTTGCAAACTTATTTTACAGAAATTAACTCTGCTCAAATTAAAGGTTTAACTAAAATATAGGCAAATACAATAGATAAAAGCAATAATGTACAGGTTGAGATATGTACGAAGAATTCATAATCTACTATGCCTCAAGACTCTTGAAGTTTCCACTGACTGCTTGGAACTGTGTAGCACAGTAATCATTGATGCAAAGAATAATATTCTACTCCAAACAAGGAGAGTAAAAAAAAAAGAGAGAGAGAGAATATGGGATATCACATGTCCTTTCTTACCTACTGGGAAGCCAAAAACACCAGACTGTGTGGTCATGGATGGTTCGAGTGTGCCTTCTTGGTTAGCAATAGTTAGGTTTCGTAGCCTGAGACTATCATAGAGGCCTTGGAGCTTTTGATACTGGCGATTGCGCTCCATAAGTTTCTCAGAGATGTCACTGAACTTTTTCTTGTATTCTTCTAGCACTTTCTTCATGGAGGTGACTTCTCCTTTCATAGAGGTCAATTCTACATCCTTGCTTTGTATTTGCTGAGTATATATCTTCTCCATCTGTTTCAGATGGCCCTCAGCCTTGCTAAAATTATATTCTTGATAAAGACGCTCCTGATGTACCTGCCCCAAGAAAGAAAAGAAAGATTTTCAAGGTAATAAGTACAAAGAAGCAATCAGGACATACAATGAAGTGATTAATTATTACCAAAACCAATAATATATGGTTACTACATGCACAGAAAAAAAATCTGGAAGAATATTTTCAAACCACTACCATTATAGCCCCAAAACAATGAGTATCCCAAAGGTTTTTAAGAAGTATAACACCATTTTTTAAGTAATCCAGAGTTAAGAACAGACTCTAAGAGGGCCCCCAATTACCCCTGCCTCCTGGTACTTACACACCCATATGTAACTCCCTCCTCTGAGTGTGAGCTGGACCTGTGACTAGAATATGGCAAAGGTGACAGGATGTCATTTATGAGTACATTACATATATAAGACCTGTCCTATAAAGCCTTGCTAGCTTTAAAGAAGCAAGCAGCCATTTTGGGAAGGCCCAGGAAGCAAGTATTAATAACTAAGAGCAAGCCTTTGGCCAAGAACCAGCAAAAAAAAATAAGGTCCCAATGAATCTAGACACAGACCTTACGCCATCCACAAAAAATTAACTCAAAATAGATCACAGACCTCAATGCAAAACTATTATTATAAAACTCCCACCCAGAAGATATCATAGAGGAAAATCTAGATGACGTTAGATTTGGCAGTGACTTTTTAGATACAACACCAAAGGTATAATCCATGAAAGAAAGAATTGATAAGCAGGACTTCATTAAAATTAAAAATCTCGCTCTGCGAAAGATGCTGTTGAGAGAATGAAAAGACAATCCACAGACAAGGAGAATATATTAACGAAAGACATATGTGATAAAGGACTGTTATCCAAAATACACAAAGAGCACTTAAAACTCAACAATAAAAAAACAAACAACCCAATTTAAAAATGGACCAAAAACCTTAACAAACACCTCACCAAACAAAATATATAAATGGCAAATAAGCATATGAAAAGATGCTCCACATCATTTGTTATCAGGGAAATGCAAATTAAAACAATGAGATGCTACTACACACCTATTAAAATGACCAAAATCCAGAATATGGACAACATCAAATTCCGGCAAAGATGCAGAGCTACAGGAATTCTCACCCATTGCTGGTGGGAATGCAAAATGGTATAGTCACTTGGAAGACAGTTTTGCAGTTTCTTACAAAATTAAACATATTCTTACTATATGATCTCATAATAGCACTATTTGGTATTTAACCAAAGGAGTTGAATACTTTTATGTCCATACCAAAACCCTCATGTGAATATTTATTGCAGCTTTATTCATAATTACCAAAACTTGGAAGCCACCAAGATGCCCTTCAGTAGGTGAATGGATAAACTGTGGTATATTCAGACAACGGAATATTATGCAGCACTAGAAAGAAATGAGCTATCAAACTTAAATGCATATTACTAAGTGAAGGCTGGGTGCAGTGGCTCATGCCTGTAATCCCAGTACTTTGAAAAACTGAGGAGAGAGGATCACTTGAGGCCAAGAGATCAAGACCTGGATAACACAGCAAGATCCCTATCTCTACAGAAAATTAAAAAAAAAAAAAAAAAGATTAGCTACGCATGGTGGCACGTGACTATAATCCCAGATCCTAAGGAGGCTGAGGCAGGAGGATCACTTGAGCCCAGGAGTTGGAGGCTGCAGTGAGCTATGATCATACCACTCTACTCCATCCTGGGTGACAGATTGAGACTCTGTCTCTAAAAAGAATGTTTTAATAAACAAAAAAATACTAAGTGATCTGTGCAGAATGTATTCAAGGGAAAAAGAGAAAAAAAGAATACTAAGTGAAAAAAGCCAATCTGAAAAGGCTACTTACTATATGATTTCAACTATATGACATTCTGGAAAAGGCAGAATGCCTTTGGAGACAGTGAAAAGATCAGTGGCTGCCAGGGCTTAGGGAGGAGGGGAGGATGAACGAGCAGATCCACAGATGATTTTTAAGGCAGTGAAACTACTCTGAATAACAGGATAATGGTGAATATATGTCATAGATTTGTCCTGTCTGAATCCTAGAATGTACAACATCATGAGTGAACTCTAATGTAAACTATTGACTTTGGGTGATAGCAATGTGTCAATTTAGGCTTGTCAATTATGACAAATGTACCACTCTGGTAGGGGATGTTGATCATTGGGGCGGCTGTGGATTTGGGGGATTCGTGAAGGTATATGGCAACTCTCTGTACTTTCCATTCAATTTTGCTGTAAACCTAAGACTGCTCTAAAAACTAAAGTCCATTTAAAAAAAAAAAAACTGAAGTCCTCAGTCTGACAGTTCACCAGGAAGTGAATGCTGCCAATAACCATGTGAGCTTGGAAGCAGATCCTTCCACAGTCAAAGTTCAGATGAGGTCATAACCACAGCTAACACCTTGACTGTAGTCCTCTGAGACTCTGAACAGAGGACTCAGGTAAACCCTGCTTGGACTCCTAAACCACAGAAATTATGAGATAATAAATGTGTGTTATTTTAAGCCACTAAATATGTTGTTTAAACCACTAATCTTATTACACAACAAAAGACAACTACAAAGACAAACTACAAACAACAGACAAAAGACAACTACACAACAAAAGACAACCACACACAGCAATCAATTTTGGCTTATCTTTGGATTTACTGTCCTTTAAATATTGACAGAAAGTAAAATATAAGCACTTCCTTTTTTTTCACCATTTTTAATTTGCCCATTCTAAATAGTTTGATGAAATTCCACCAATTATGGGTTACCTGACCCTCTTATGTGGTCTCACAGTACTCTGTATTTCCCTTATTTCTGTAGGCATTAAAAATGTATGATATCCTTGTTAGTATAGTGGTAAATTTTAAAAAAGCAAAAATATAA